CTGTCCTGCGGTCACCCTTGTCCAATTGGAGGGAGCAGCCGTAGCCCTGCCTTGAGTGAAACTCCTCTCGGTGGGGCGTGAGGAGCGAGCTCCCGGAGGCAAAAGCAGGTTTCGAGCAGTTCCCGCACGTATAAAGGCGGCACGGGCCGGTTACAGCCGCCGCCTTTTGCAGGAGGGGAGGAAAAAAAACACACGCGTGCCACGAAAAGCAATTGCGCCCCGTCCCTGGGTGGGCTCGAACCACCAACCTTTCGGTTAACAGCCGAACGCGCTAACCGATTGCGCCACAGAGACGCGCTGCGAACAGGCCTCGGCGAGCAGTGGCTCAGTCCCGCGGCGGATGGGGCGGGTTTTGTAATTCCTTCGTAATTCCTTTGTAATTCCTTTGTGCGCATTTGTGTTCTTGCTGCTCCTCGCTCCTTCTGGGAGCTGCGCGCCTTGGGGTTTTTAATCACCTGCTTTGGGGTCTGATTGCTTTTTTAATCTGAACAAACGGTCCTTCCTTTGCTTTTCTTTATGTTTTCTCTCTTGTTTTCTCTGTGGCCTTTTCTGTTTGTTTTCCTGAGGGGCGGGGAAAGAGTGGACAAGCAGAAAAAATGTAGTGGTTGAAGTTCTGCCTGTTGGTGGGATGGTTGCAAACGGGAGCCTGAAAGCTGCTCTCCAAGACAGCTGAGCTGGCAAGAGGAAGCTCTGACAGTACGTGCCAAGGATGAGGAAGGCAAAGATTAGCATTGCCCGGTTATTAAGGTGCTCAAGGGATCCATCATCTTCCCTTCTGATCATCGCAGTACCGAAAGGAGTAGTTGTGACCAGAGACTTGAAGAACAGAAGAAAAAATTCACCCCCCAGTGACTTTTGATAGTTATTTGCAAGAGGTAATGAAAGCAGGAACACTGACAGAAATGAGACAGGGAGAAAGAGACTTCTTAAAGCAGAGTGGAGAGAAAGACCTGTGAATCTGCTGCCCAGGCAGCCTCACCTCTGCTCTAAACAGTCTAGAAAGTGAATTTTTAATCAAATTGCAGCCACCTAAAAGATAATAAGGGGATAATGGCAGCAAACTGGAGTTACAAAAACCAAATCAGCAAGGAAGGTATACCCTAGATGGATGAGGGCCAAGTCTGGGAACATTTAAGCAACTTGCATGTATGTAAGTCCATTGGCCCTGCTGAGAGAGATGGCAGATCCATTGCAATCTCCATCAGCTTTGATCAGTCATGGCAATGAGGACAAGTGCCCAAGGATGGTTATAAAGCAACATCTTCCAGAAGGACAAGAAGGATGACTGAGGGAGCTACAGGCTGGTCAGCTTCACCTCAATCCCTGGGAAGGTTATGGATGAGCTAATCCTGGAAACCATCTTCAGACACTTGAAAGACAATGAAATCACCAGCACTTGGTCAGTATGGCTCGAACAAGGGGAAGGCATGTTTGACAATTTGGTAGACTCCCATGGTGAAGTGATTGGCTTGGTAGAAGAGAGGAGGGCGGTGGGTATTGTCTACCTGGACTTCACTTGACACTGTCTCCCATGAGATCCTTGCAGAGAAGCTGTTGATGTGTGGGTTGGATAAGCAGGCAGTGAAGTGGATTGAAAAGTGGCCAAACAGCTGTGTCCAGAGTGTGGTGATCAGTGGCACGATGTAGTTGGATGCCAGTAACTAACAGTGTACCCCAGGGATCAATATTGCGCAACACCTCATTAATGATCTGGATGATGGGCCAGAATTTACCCTCAGCAGGTTTGCAGACAGCACCAGACTCAGAGGAGTGGCACAAAGTAGAGGGTGATGCTGCTGTCCAGAGGGACCTAACAGGTTGGAGAAATGGGCTGATAGTACCTCATGAAGTTCAACGAGGAGAAGTATAAAGTCCTGCAGCTGTAGACAAATGGCCTTGGTGGCCAAGAAGGTGAATGGTACCCTGGGTCACATTAGACAAAGCATTGCCAGTGGGTCAAGAGAAGTGATTCTGCTCCTCTGCTCTGCTCTGGTGAGGCCACATCTGAAATACTCTGGGTAGAGTTAATTTTCCTCCTAGTAATTGGCAGGTGTCTCTGTTTTGGATTGGTGCTGGAAACACTGCTGATCACATAGGGATGTTTTAGTCACTGATGAGCAGGACTTAAGCAAAGTCTAGGCCTTTTCTGCCTCTTACACCAACAAGTGCACTGGGAGTACACAAGAGTTGAGAGGGGACAGAGCAGGGACAGCTGACCCCAGCAGATCCAGGGATTACCCCATACCATATGGCATCATGCTCAGCATATAAAGCTGGGACAAAAGGAGAAATGGAGTGATGGTGTTGTCTTGCACAGTAACCATTATGTGTGATGGAGCCTGGCTTTCCTGGAAATGGCTGAGCACCTGCCTGCCTGTGGGAAGCGGTGAAAGCATTTATTGTTTTGTTTGCTTGCATGCATGGATTTTCCTAACCCTTTTATCACTTTTATCCTTCTGATTGTCTCCCCCATGTCACTGGTGGGGAGCGAGGAAGTGGCTGTGTGGGGCTGAGTTGCCAGCTGGGGTTGAACAATGACAATGGGACACAGAGGGTGAGGAGGAGGAGGCTGTGCCAGGGGACCTGGAGGGACTACAGCTTCTGTCTTCCAGCTCTGTTTCGAGCTGAATTTGTACCAATGGAATATGAAGACAATAAGTGAAAGGAAGAAGCCTGTGCAATGTGGAGAAGGAGGGGTTTTTGAGGCGGTGCTCTGTCAGCTCATTCTCTTGGCTGTGCAGAATGAAGGCAGCATTTTAAAAACTGCAGCACTGCCCTTTTCTTCGTGCTGCAGTTCACATTTCCAGCTCTGTTCGTGTGCTCCGCTGGGGTTTTGTCAGGGTTCAGCAGGGATGCGATGCTGAGGCAGGCTGACGTGCGGCAGGTATCACCCACGCGTGTGCACCACATTTGATGGGGCTGTGGTGCTTTAAGTTTGCAAAGCACAGTGCTAATATTAACCAGCCAGTCCAAGGGGCTTGTGTCCCCTTGCATTTATGACAAAGCATAATGACAGCTGGATGTCACCTGGCATTCATATGTGGGAGCTTCACACAAGCAGTCTTTATGTTGTCAAGTGGCACACTTTCATTGGAGTCATTTCTGCGGAGCTCTGATCACAGTGCATGAGAGGAGAGATGAACATCCCAAAAGATATTTATAGATCTGAGTTCCCAGTCCTTTCCTCTTCACTATGAAAGCAATTCTACAAAGGGATTATTTTGACTGGCTGTTCAAGATTCCAGAGGAGAAGATTAATGTGCAGGAAGCCTCGCAGCACAACTGGAAAAGCTCGCTGGCTTTGCACATTTTCGTGAGCTTCACGGCTCACTGTGTCAAGGTTATCTTTCTCAGACAGGACGATGTGGATGTCAAACAGCCATGCATCAAGCAAAAGGGCTGGGGTCTGACAGCAGCTGCAGAAGCACTGAATTGTCTGTGCCTGAAGAGGTCTGACCACAGCTGGGGGTTACAGAAGGTGCACGCACTGTTCCCCAAGGTGTGTATTCCTCCCCCACGCCCCCTTTCCTTTTTTTGTCTACTCAGGAAAATCCCTTATTTCAAATGACCAAGTGAGCTGTTATGGAGGTGTTTTGCACTGATCTTACTCCCAGGTGCACAGGGTTTTACACTGGTGCCAACTTTGTCTTATCCAGACAGCGATCCTTTGTTTAGGTCTCAGGGAGAGGGAACAATTTAGTATGTCAATATGGAAAAAACTTGTTAGCAGAGTCATTTTAGCCCTCCCTTGCCAAGGCAATTCCCCAAATTGCAAAAATCTCCAGAATCTCCTTCTACCCTGCAGCTATTCCAGTGCCAAGGGGTATGAAAAGGTAATATTCCTCCCCACAAGGGGTTGCTGCTCTGTCTGACTGTACAACAGTGTTGCCTTGCCATGGCAAAAGTACTTCTTCTTCCATATCTAACAGACCATCTCGGTTTCCTTGTTTTTTCTCAAGCAGAGCCCTCAGAGTGATACTGCACTTAAAAACAAACAAACAATAAAAAACCAACAAAACAAAGCCCTGCAGTTTCTTTCTTGAGGCAGCCATACCAAAGAGGTTCTTGCTGGCAAAGCTTTTTTCTCCCTGCACACCAAGAAATCATTTTAACAAGTCCTACAGTTGTTTTTCTTTTTTTTTTTTTTTTAACTGCAGGGAGGAGGGAGGAGTGTGAAACCCGGCTTTCCTCCATGCATACATGTGGGATGGCTTTGGAGCAAACCTGGGTAAGAGGAGGAAGCAGGCTGGGTTTCCAGAAAAGCACTGGGGAAGTCAAGCGCCAAAATGCCAAAGTGGTGCCAGGGAACGGGGAAATCAGAAGGGGCAGAGCAGAAGAGCAAAGTGGGGATGAGTGTGTGGTGAGAGGCACTGAGCAGCAGCAAAGTGAAGAGCTGGAAAACAAAGAGCAGAACAAGGAGAAAGCAAAGGGCAGCAACAGCTCATCTCTCACGATGTGGCCAGCATGCAGGGCAAGGGGTGGGAGCTTGGGTCAGCCAGCTAGAAAACCTGATGACATAAACTCCTGGTGTGTTGTGGGGGGTTCTGCATAATGGCAACTTCACACCTCAGCAGCCAGATTCCTACCTCTTTTATACAAGAGTTCTGCTGAACAGAATTCACCTCTGGGAAGTCTTTGATAGCAGGGAAGCGTGTGTGTTTTCTTGGCAAGTTGGAGCAGGCTCATGCGCTGGTACTGCCACTTGTAAATCAAAAGCAAGCTGCAGGCTGTCTGGTAGGTTTGCACCAGCACAAAACAGGTAGCAGAAGGAGAAGGCTCAGTGCCTGCTGCAAGAGGATGACTGGGAATCCTCCTACCACAGGTGCCCCGAGGACCTGTGCTTTCCCTTCACCCTCTTCTGTCAGCAGCTTCCTCCTGCTTCCCAATGCCCATGCACAGCTCCTCTCTTTACACTCCTAACGCTGATCTCTGCTTAGACAATATTCTTCTTTTGACTTAATTCCATAACCATAAGGGCTTTTAGGTGATGGGCTTTTCTTCTCAGAAGATTAGTAGATGCTTAGCATTAAATGCCATCTCTAAATACCAGCTACAATCCTGGGCTTGATAGACCACTAAATATAAACATTGATGTTCAACTAGGAAAATACCATGTTCTGGGGAAAAAGAGAACTTTAGCCTGAATAAAAGCATTCTCAAAGACATGTTGTGTTTCTCTTTTTGTTCTTGGATTTGGGTTGTTTCCTGAAGTAAATCTGGCAAAAGTTAAAAATCCAAAGAAAAAATCATAGGCTAAATCTAAACCTTGATATTCTTTATGGCCTTGCTTTTTAC